TGGGCCAGGGCCAGCGGCTGAGTCCCCCCGCCCCCCCGGGGAGCAGGGGCTTTGGTCCAGCGGGGCTGGAGGGGACCTGGCCTTCGGATGGCACTTTCTGCTCCAGCTCTGGGGGAGATGGGGGGGCAGCTCCTGCCCGGCAGCCCAGCACGGTGGAAATTGCTGCAGAGCAAAAGCCTGGGCTGGGCTGGGGCTGGCGGGGGTCCCCAGGGCAGCGGGGTTCCCAGGGCAGCTGTGTCCCCAGGACTGCTGTTTTGCTGCCCTAGAGAAGGAGCTGGTGTCCGTCCTCATGCCCAGTTCTTCCCTTGTCCCCAGAGGCAGCGGCACTTCAGCAGCCGCAGCTAATGCCTGCATGGATGGCATCGCCCGAAGAGTTGGTGCAAACCCTCACAGCAGGAGAGGTCCCTGCTCAGACACCCACAAGTGGGGTGGGGGGTCACCAGCTGCAAGGGGGCTTGATTAGAGCAGCAACTCATCCTGCTCCAAACTGCCTCTCGCCATATCCAGCTGCTCCCCAGTGGGCCCACAGCTCCTTCCCCAGCACTGGGAAGATCAGCACATATCATGCTGGGGAGCCCTTTCGTGCCCACCCCAGCAGCCCCGCTCAGCCCCCACTAACGAGGGGTTTCCAGCCTTCCCTGTGACCCCACAACACGCACGGCAAGGGGAGAGCTTCCCACGCTGCCGGCCCAGGTCCCGCTCCCAGGGCAGCACGGCGGCTATTCGCAGAGAGAAGAAACAAGCCCCCCTGCTTTTGTGGTGCTCAGCTCCCCCGGGAGACAGGGCTGACTTGCCCGGGGAGGCAGTGAGTGAATGCACACTCGGGAGCGCATGATTCACGCCCCGATCACAAAATATGGAGATTTTGTTCTCCAGCACAAAAACATAAGGGGAGCTCGCTGCCTGTGCCTGCTCTGCACACACACATGCACACGCATCCCCCTCCTGCCAGCGTGCATGCTCCCGTGAGCAGCCCCACGCCGCAGCCCATGCATTTGCACCCACGCCCACAGCCGTCCTCCCTCTCCACTCACGATTCACGTGGGGAGCGCAGCAGCAAGAGGAGATTTTTGAAGCTGCAGCGATGGGCAGAAGGATAAGTCACTGCCTACACCCGTTCTGCTCGTGTGAAAACACACGAACACCCCACACAACCGCAGCCCTGGGGACGGATCCGGGCTCATTGCTGTGGGTGGGAGAGACGCCTCCCCCCCGGCTGCCCCCACACACACCCTGGAGCTCCTCCATGCTGCCCTTCAGGGCAAACTCACCCTGGGGACATTTGTCTGGCTCCCCTGGGAGCATGAAGTTGATGTGAGGGCAGCTCAGCCCGAGTTCACACGACCTGCCCAGACATGCAGTGCATGCAGCTATGGCCTTCTCCCAGCCGGCTTGCAGGGACACCACCACCCATCAGCTGCAGCCACGGCCCTGGGAGCTGCAGCCAAGGTCAGGCACTCTTAATTAGCAGAGGTGCTCGTTAAGACAGGTACATGCTCCATAAGCCTGCCCACCGCCGCTCCGCAGGGGAGCTTTGCAGACGTGCCTGCTGCTTTGATGCTGGTGCTGCTCTTGAGTCCAACCCAGCATCGGTTCAAGCGAGGGCACACCACAAACAACCCCCGAGCCCGCCAACCTCCTGCTGCAGGGACCCCTGGGGTCTCCCGAGCTCCGACTCTTGGGAAAGTTGGCCCCAACAGAGGAAATTTGGTCCTGAATGAAGCAGCAGCTCCCGCGCAGCGAGGAAGATGAGGATGGATCAGAGAGAGGCAGGTCCGACCGCGGCTCTGGGTCCCTTGTGAATCATTTTATTTTCACTGCTGCGGAGAGTAGGAGTGAAAATACCATTAAGTTGAAATCAGTCAAGAACTACATATGTCTGTAGATATATCTGTACAGTCTACCAGTATATATACACATTATATATAAATATATACATAGGGTCTCTGGGTTTAAGGTTGAAACCTGTCAAACCCAATAAAGCCCACTGGAGGAAGATTTGGAGAAGAGACTTTTATCATGCAAAACCAAGCCTGAATTAGCACGGGGGTTTAATGAGCCTTTCAGCGCTGGGAAGGGGGGAGCACCCAGCTCGCAGGGTCGCTGGTGTGTCCCCAGGCTGTGGGGAGCATCCCTGTCCCATTCCCGGGGAGCGGGACACGGTGCCCGTCCGTGCCCGTCTCAGAGAAGGGTCAGTTTTGGTGGCTGAACACAAAGGAGGTAACGGCTGGTTTCTTTGGTTTATTACTTTAATGCTTATTTCAATTGGATTTTTTTTTTTTCCTCTAATGCTTGGCCTTAAATCTAAATCCTGAGAATCAGGAAGGAAAAAAAAGAGAATAACACCCCCTAATCCCGGACACCCTATATATGCAGGTACAGCTATCAGAGGGAAGCGATACACATGAAAACAGGGAGAAGGGGGAATAAAAAATAGCTTTATCCAAAAGAGTAATTCTTCCCTTTTGTTTTTCTTTCCTTTTTTCTTAAAAAAAAAAAAAAAAAAAAAAAAAAAAAAAGGCAAAACCAGTCATGTGTGTTTGGTTCAAGAAAGCAACTGAGAGTAAAACCTCCAGGAGGTGGGAATCGAGGCGGGAGGGCAGAGGGACCATGAGAGCAGAGCAGAGATCTCACCGGTCAACCCAGCCCCAGCAGAGCCCGGGTTTACACCCACGTCAGCATCTGGTCCCAGGTACCTAAATACGAGGGCGAGTGTCCTGCTGGCATCACTGCAAAGCAGCTGGCTCTGCTCTGCCCCGGGGAGGGTCCCGTGCCCAGGGCAGGTCGCTGGCAGCGGGGTCCCGCAGGCTTTGGGTCCTGCCCGCGTCGGGGAGGGCAGGGTTTGGCTGGAAGCAGCAGAGTGGGGCCGATGCGCTGAGCCCTGCATCTCCGCAGCACGGGGCAGGGGGACGATGCAGGATGCTGGGAGGGGGCTGCGGCACCGTGGACTGATGCTGCCGGGGCCGGGGGGAGCCTGGGAGGGATGAGAGCCGGGGAGGGGGCTGCGGGAGGGGGCTGGTGTTGCAAAGGAGAGTGCGTGGTGTATTGCCACAGGGAAGGTGCAACCCACGCAGGGAGCAGGAGAGCCCAGCTCCGGCTGCAGGGGACGGACACCCTCCCTACTCCCTCCAGCCAAATTCACACCACCATGAGGGAATAACCCTTTTGGCCTGGAGAGCAGCGCGGAGGCAAGGCTGAAGCCCCCCAGGAGGGCCCAGGCAAGAGGAGCGTGTCCCTGGCCCGGGGCCCTGGGACATGGCTCTGGCCACGAGGTGTCGTTGCCGGTCCTGCCGGCCGGCGCCAGACCCAGCCACCCTCCGCCTGCGCGGACCCCGCTCCCCCCGGCCACCCGCTGCCCATACGCCAGGCTGGCATCACCCTGCACCCCAAGGCTGCAGGGTGGCCATCTGCACCCTCGGCACGCCAGCCCAGGGCATCCCCGCTCCACCTCCGTCACTGGGGAGTTTTCCCAGGGACATCGCGGGCTCTCCGGGTGCAGCCACCCGGAGCAATGATATGACCCGAGTCCTGCAGCGAGGTGGCCCCTGGGCTCCCTCATCAGCTCCACCTGGAGATGCTTTTGGCTAGAACCAAATCCAACCTCCTGAAACTCTGCCGGGCGGGAGGGGAGAGACAGAGCCAGCTCCAGGGCTGGCCTGGGGTGAGGGAAGAGAAGGCAGGGCCCACAGGCAGGGAGCTGGGGGCGAGCGTGGCAGCCACCCCGGGCTGACGCTGCGACCTGGGATGGCTGCTGCGACGCGGTGCTGTCCTGCAGACAGCGGTACCCAAGGACGCACGTGCCACGCGTGTCCACAGCCACTGCAGGGGATGAAAGGGGGAAAAGGCAAGAGGGGTGGAGGCGGGGTGCGAGCAGGGGGAGAGGGAGGCAAAAAGGGTCCCACGTGTCAAACACCGACGGGGGTCGAGTCTCTGTGCAAAGCCAAGTCCTGGGAAAGGCGCGCTGCTGGGCAGGGCTAGAAAACCACGGACTGCAGGAGGCGGAAACACATCATCAGGTCCAAGGGGATGGGGGGTTTCAGGAGGTTCCCGTCCAGCCGCAGGTACCGGAGCCGGGGCACGCTGTCCAGGTCGGAGGGGGAGAAGTCCTGGATGGATACCAGCGAGGTGGGGCAGATCTGCGTCCCGTTGATTTCTGCAGGAAGGGGAGGAAAAGCGGGATGCAGGTTAGAGGAAAGGGAAGACAGAGAGGCATGCTAAAGACCCCCCTCCCTGCTTGCCTGCCTCTTGAACCCCAAAATGGGGTTGCTTTGCTACCAAGGGGGAGAATCCCCAGCCTCTCCAAGAAGACGGCGCAGCCCCAGTGAGAGGAAATCTTGCTTTTGTTCAGAAACGAAGTAGGTCACATTCAGCCAAAGCGCGGTGAGAGCTGCAGTGTCATTCGAGAGAGAAAAGGGATTATTTCAAATATGAAACCTGCCGAGCCAGCCCTAAGCCTTCAAAAAAACATCAGGGAAACATGCTCCAGCACCTTTACGCTGAAGATAACGTCAATAGCAGGCTCGTTGCTCACTTCTGGATTTCCACGTGTTTCTCCCCACCCCAGGGCCTGCATTACAGAAAATAAACCTGGGGATTCTTATGTTGTTACCCAACTCCAGGGACTGAAACCTTATAAAAACTGGGTAAAATAGGCAAAAAAAAGAGCTGGGACATGATGTGCACGGCCACACAGGCATCTCTCCATGGAAAGCCCTACCAGGACCTGGCTACTGGTGTGTGTGAAGCCAGCAGCAGTCACCACCTTTGCCCCAAGGTCCCCCTTGGCTCCAGTTTGGTGGTGTTTAAATAAAATGCGGATTAACCGGCATTTGAACCAGACGTTCATCACCGTGTCTTTATTCCCTGGGAACCGACTCCGGTGACCCCGTGAGACGAGGGATGTGGCTTTGCGAGGATTTTGTCCCTCTCCCTAGCATCACATCCCATAACGCTGTTAGTGCTTGCCTGCAAAGAGCAGCTTTCTTGCTCGTCCCTTCCTGGCCCACGTTCAGTGCCCTGTTTGGGCAGGAGCCGGCCCGCTAAAGCTGCTCTGTGATCTTGCAGCCCCTCTTCGACAGCGGATCACTCTTACATATAAAGCCACACACCATCACTGCACGATAAACACCGCAGCGTGGAAGTGCTTGTGTCGCGCCACTTGTGGGGACCGGTGTCCTGCCCGGCGGCTGCTTCACAGGCGAGCAATGCCCTGGGTGGGTCCTGCAGCCCCCCATACACCCCACCGCAGCCAGAAATAGAAGAGCCCAGCACACTTTCCCCAGTGCACATGGAGGGTTTCTGGCAGCAGCGCCACATTCTTGCTTCCCCGCGGATAGCAAGGACAGCAGGTTGCTGGACCTCTACTAGCAGAAACAGCTGGGGTGACCAGGAATGGGTCTCTGTCTTCTTCTCGAATGTGCTAGCTATGTTTACACATTTCACAGGCCAGCACCTCTCCCATGAAATTGCAGTGCTTTGCCTGGAACGGTGTGAAACTGCCCCGGTTGGTTTGCCAAGGCAACCTCCATCACAGCCTTGTTCTCCCTGTTCCTTCCTCTGCGAGGCTCAGCTCGAGAGCTAAGCTGGGTTATTTCTAACCATCTTGACTGCGTATTTGGCATCTGTTCTTAAAATATGTGCACAGGCTCTCCTTTTTAAATATCCCTATTTCTGAGCCCTGCTGGGGAAGTAACTATTTAGATGGCAGGTGGCCCCAAAGAAGAGCTGCCCATGACAACGAACCAGAAAAGCCCTGCAGCACCAGGGGGAATTTTGCGCCACTCCTCAGCTACCACCCTAATCCTCAGGCCATCCTTCCCCACATGCAAATCCATCCCCCTTAGGACCTTGTTCACCTACAAAGAGCCTCCAGCTCACCCCACCACTGCATCCCCCTTTGAAGAGTTCACATCCCACTGGGTGAAAAATGCCCTTTTTCAACGAAACACTTGCCATCCCCAAGCCCGTCCACTCCCCCACAGACCTCGCCGTGGCCTCCCGACGGGCCAGTGCAACTCACTTTCAATGGAGTTGTTATTCAGGTAGAGGTGCTCCAGCTTGGGGCTGATGAAAGGGACGTTGGTGAGCTTGTTGTGGGCCAGGTGCAACACCAGCAAGTTGGTGAGGTTGAAGGAGTTCTTGGGCAGCCCCTTGTCGGAGATCTGGTTGTAGTTGAGCCGGATGAATGCCAGGTTGGGGAACTCCTTGAAGTAGTCACTGGGGATGTCTTCAATGTTGTTCCTGTCCAGGAAAAGCTGGTGGATGGCACTGGGCACCCCAGGGGGCATTTTCCTCAGGATGTTGTGGGCGAGGTTGAGTTGCATGAGGTTCTTGAGTCCCTTGAAGGTGTTTTTGTTGAAGACCCCATCGCTTAGCTTGTTGTGGTGCAGGTCCAAGAGCACCAGGTTCTCCAGCTTGTTGAAGACCCCAGCAGGGATCTTGGAGATCTGGTTCCTGCTCAGACGCAGCTGCTCCAGGTTGGGCGGCAGGAAGGAAGGCACCTCCTTGAGCTGGTTCTTCTCCATGTAGAGGAAGATGAGGTTTTCCAGCTTCTCCAGGACCCGCCTGTCCACCTTCCGGATGCGATTGTTGTCTAGGTTGACCCATTTCAGCCCCGTGGCATTCCTGAAGGACTCCTCTGGGAGGTCGTCGATGAAGTTGTTCTGGAGGTAGAGGTAGTGGATGCGGGACGGGATGATGGGGACCTTCCGCAGGTTGCGGCTGTCACAGTAGAGGGCAGAGGGGAAGTCTGGGGGGCAGTAGCATTCTCGGGGGCAGTCAGGGAAGATGGAGGGGGGACCCGGTGGCAGGGGTGGGGGCAGCTCTGTGGGCTCGACGGGCTCAACAAACTCGGGAGGCGGGCGGGTGGGTTTCCGGGGAGGCTTCCTCCTCTGCCCGCTCACCTCCGAGATCAGCACAAGAACAAGCGGAAGAAGCAATCTGAAGGCCACCTTCATGGTCCAGATGTTTCCCTGAGGGAGGCAACAAGAAGAGGTGGGTTGGGAAGCACCCAATTTAGGTACCGCATCATCTCCCATCTCCCCCATCACTGCAGTCTCTGACAGGCAGGAATTTACCCCACATCCCTGCCAGTAACCTGCTATTTTCTCTCCTTCCCCTTGGAAGTTATCTTTAAATCCAACCCCTCTCCAGAGCATGAGTCACTGAGATCCCCTCTCTCTGGCTCAGCTTTATGCCATTGCCAGGGGGGGTGTGTGGGGTGTGATGGGTTTTTTTAATTTGGGTTTTTTTCCACACATCACCCCCAGCACTGCGTCACAGAGCCTGGACCCCCCCTGGGAGTCCCAACACCGCTGTGCCCTCTCCCCAAAGGATGGATTGCCCCTTCAGAGGCCTTGATGGATTAGGCTTAATTTTGCACTTGAGCCAAGAAAAATCAATGATTCAGTAGCAAATTGGCTGAGCAACAGTATCAGGAGGCCAGCGGCAGTTAGTGGGGCAGCAAAGATGGATGGTCCTGTGCTTCAGGGATAAGGATTTAATGCAGGACAGCCCATTTTCAAGGCCATGTGATAAGAAGGACATTTGCAAGATTACACCTGGGCGATACCAAAGGTGTTTGACTATACAGCTCCCTGTGCTTGCCCAAATAACTGATCCATCACCTCCAGTCCCACCACAGGGTGCTGGGCTGGGATCGTTACTGGGGGAGAGTCCCAGCAGAAGTGGGAGATCTGGAGGGATCAGGTGAGGTCTCTGCTTGCCCCTAGCCAGTGGGCCTCTCCCGGACACCAGCCCAACACCTTATACAAGCCACCTCTCCCTCTTCTCTGGGTTGTTATCAAGCCCATGAAGGCTGCCGGTCCCATCTCTGCCCTCCCTGCTGCCTGGAACCGCAGCAATCATCCCTTCAAGACTCTTGCTGGCAGCTCTCCAGCTGGTGCCTTGGAGGATGGAGGGATCCAGCTTGTTGCAGACGAGCTCCCCAGAAAGCCCCGTGCAGAAGGTGCTTTGGATGCTCTGACACCCCCCGGGGCCAGCTGGAGCAGGCCAGGCTGTGGGCTTCCTGGGCAGGCAGCAGATACCTCGGGGAGTTCGCCAGACTTTTCCCGGCAGCATTTGTCACCCCAGCAGGAACAGAGCCGAGCTGGATGCACGGCGAGGCAGATGGAGAAGCTCGGCAGAGGCAGGGTAGGAAAAAGAATCAAGTGAGACGAGACAGGGAGGAAGACAGGGAGGAAGATGAGAAGACTTAGAGGAAGATGGATCTCCTGGGGAAACGGAGCGTCTGCCGTGGGAGCCAGTGCTGCTGGGATGGAAGCGTGGGGCAGAAGCCTTTGGTGATGCTGATGCCGGAGAGAAATCCGGTTCTCCCGGCTCATTGCTCTCTCCCATGCAACACGACGAAGTTGAGCTTGCAGCTTGCTGGTGCACAGCGCTGCTGTCATGCCTGGGGGTCACTGGCAACGCAGGCGCAGCCAGCCCCACTCAGCTCAGCATGCCCGGTGGGAGCTGCAAACAGGCAGGGCTGAGCTGGGCACGTCGCATTTGCCTTCAGGCAGCAGCAGGGAAATGTCCCCAGCCCTCACCCGACCAGCAAGCAGCACAGACAAACGCTGCTGGGGTAGCCCCCTGCCACACCAACCCCCTTTTGCTTACAGCTTCCCACCGGGTCCGCATCCCACCCAGGAATGCCCTTAGGGCCCCTTGATGGGCCACTGCTCCCCGGGCTGCGCTGCGCCAGCCCCGGCTCCCTTTGAAACGATCCCACGCATTCCTGGGGCTCCAAGTAATTGACTTTCTCCAAGAAAAGATCCTGTTCTCGCCCCCCCTCCAGGCCCAGCCTGTTACTTTCCTTTTTGTCTCGCTCTGCTCCCATCTGGCTCTGTTTAACCCTACAAGCCTCACATGCCTGCTGTTTTCAATCAGAGCTCTGGCATCTCGCTGGGGGAAGGGAGGAACAGGGGAATAGCAACGGGGCCCGAATGCTGCCAGATATTCAGCTCAGCAGTGCTGCAGTAAGTCCCCTTTGGGGATGTACGTGCGTGCTTCTGTGTTGTAAGAGTTCAGATTCAATGATGGGCTGCAGGGAACAGGCAAATTCGTGACAGGGAGCTGCTCTACGTGCAGTCCCCTCCCTGGCCCTGCAGCACCCCGCTCCTTTCCCAGCCACATCCTTCCTTGCACTTGGCTCTCCCCCCACCTTGTCCCAGACCTTTCCATGGGATTTTGCCTCAGCTCCAAAACTCAGACCTGGATTTTAACACCCACAACAGTGGGGGCTGAGGTCTGTGTTTGGCCCGTTGCAGAGGGAGGAGGCAGCTGGGACACGATATTCCAGCCAGTACACGCTGCGATCCGGGCATTCGGCTCCCTCCTCTCACAAAGCGATGCTCAGCTCGGGCCACCTGGCAGCCACCCTGGGGCAATGTCACAAGGAAGGTGGGGGACAGGGCAGAGCTGTCACCCCGTTGGTCTCGGGAGCTGGCTGAGCTCTCAGCCCTTCCAGGAATGACCTGGCACCGCACAGCCTGCGTCATCCCCTCCACATGAGGCTTTAATGCTACAGATGTTTAGGGACTAAGCATATAGCAGAAATAGTCAGCAAGCCAGAAATTCAGGCTGGAGAGCGGCAGCATCATGTGGCATTTGTCAGCACAGAAGGAAAGTGTCAGGAGGCAGATGCGGCCCCTTTTATCCGCTGTACCACTTGCAACCCGCTGCCACGTCCCCATGGGGACTGCCACAGCCCCTCTGCCCATCACAGCCAGGCAGAGCCAGCACTGCCACGACCCTTCTCCGTTGCCGGTCCCCACCAGCCTCTCCCTGCAAAGCTGCAGCTCCCCGCAGAGGCTCTGCCCACCGCTCCCCAGCCTCCTTGGGGAAAGCAGGACCCACTTCCAAGCAATCTGCAGGAAACCAGCTCACAGCCAGCAGTCCCCACAACAGCCCTGCATCCAGAATAACGTCCTCAACAGGGCCACAGCCGAGCTTTTTGCAACAAGCCTGAGGCCGCCACAAGCTTTACAATTGCGTCCAACACGCTGGAAGGTTCAAAGCCAGCTCTCCCTGGACCCGACACAGTCGGCAGTCTGTTCTCCATCATGCAGTTGAATTTACTGGCATGAATGCAAGAAGCCAGATTTCAAAATCCCACACCCTGATTCTGCACGAGCACTGGCTGCCGAATCCGCGGCCAGAGCCACGGCGCAGCGCCTGCTCTGCAAATGCCTCCACTCGACCTTTCTCACCACCACCCGACGGACAGGACAGCTCAGATCCCCAGTACCCACAAGGGATCCATGCAACTGAAATAAATCATGAAGCAATGAATGCATTCAGGAAACCAACCGCCTGGTGTGGAGAAAAGGCTCGATTCATGGACAAAAACAGTTCTGACACCTCCTGAGCTGCAGGGTGGGGTGAGCAGCTTGGCCTGGGTGCAGGACCAAGGCACCCAACAGATGCCAGCCCAAGGTTTTTCCCGGAAAGAGGCAGCTGCTCCCTCCATCATTCCATTACAATTAACAAAAATTCAGCACAACAGCTGGAAATTCCAGCCCCAAATGCCACTGGCATTTGCTTTCCGAATAGTTTATCTTCGCTGCATCTCGCTAACCCACAGCTCCCAAACGGTGCTCACTGCCAGCCCTGCAACTGGTGCCAAGGGCAGGCAAAAATCACAGCCTCCAGGGCAAGAGTGAGCTATGGAAAGGTCACGGGGGGATTTTTCACGGCCAGAAGTCCCGACGCTCTCCCTTGGGTGCCTCCTGCCCTCCCCACCTCCTCTTGCAACAGTTAGACACGCAGAGAGCAGCAGCTGGCTCTGGGTAGTTATCACGGATGCATCGGGGATCCCGGCTCCCGTGGAGGGGCTGGGAGGGACAAAGGGAGCTTTTAACTTTGGGAGGGGGGGAAAGACTAGATGGCTGGACCCAGGGATCCTTTCCAGCCTGTTGCTCGTAACCCTGCTAGCTCCCTTCACAGCTTTTCCACTGGGACCCCCAATTCCCATCATCCCTGCAGCCCCGGGGGGGGAAACTAGATGGCTGGACCAGGGATCCTTTCCAGCCTGTTGCTCGTAACCCTGCTAGCTCCCTTCACAGCTTTTCCACTGGGACCCCCAATTCCCATCATCCCTGCAGCCCCCAGGCTGGAAAAATGCCCCCACCCAGCCTGGGAACCTGCACGTTGGAGCAGAACAAGGAGGGCAAGCTAAAAATAACCGAAAGGAGCCAGCAAAGTTCCCTTGTCGGCTTCCCTCGTCTCCAACCACCACAACAGCCTGTTCGTGTCTCTGCAAGAATCTGGGTCTGATCAGCTGTAACCGAAACAGGGAGTTCTTTATCCAGCGGCGCTGGAGAGCTGGGAATGCTGGAAAAGGGCTAAATACAGCGCAAGCCTGTCCTCCGAGGGGCGGGCAGACACGCTGTCACCCAGGCGTCCCCAGGGTCCCCTGGGGAGCAGAGCCCTGATGCAACCACCCACTCTTCTCGCCCTTTCCCAGCACTTTCCCAGGGAGAAGCGGAGCCGCAGGCAGCCTGCTTGGCTGGGGCTGGAGCCAGCACACAGCCGAGGCAGCCGCAGGGGCTCGGCCCCCGCTGCGTTTCTTCTTGCGGGGATAGTGCTGTGTCCACGCAGGGGATGGGTGTCTCAGGAAACCCTACCGGAGAGCAGCTCAGACATGCTCCCGGGCTCTCGAGCAACACTTTTGGGCTCAGCTCTAGGACTACAAGACACAGGGACGGCAATGCACGGCTCCTGCGTCCCTCTGCATGCCAGGAGCATTTCCTCACTGCACCACAGTCGCCAGACTCATTGCGAAAGGCTGGTCGTGTTCGCTGCTCCCTCCAGCAACCTCCTCCCGCAGCAGGGCCCGTGGGAAGGCAGCCCTGGCAGAAAACACCTTTCTGCTGCCTTCTCCGTGTCAGCAATTCCTCCCTCCTCCTCCTCCTCCTCCTCCCTCGCTGCATGTCCCGACCCTTCCCAGGGCTGCTCCCAGCTCAGCCCGCCCGCAGATCTCTCTGCCACACACAGTGGAACTGGCTGGACACAGACAAAAGCAAATCACAGGAGAAAATGCTGCCAAAGCAACCACAGCTGGGCCCCCGAGCCTGCCCCCCACACACACCCTGCTCCCCTCCAAGCAGATACCTCGCCTTGGTCCCCCCGGCTCTGCTTTCTCTAAGGGTGGGAAACTGCTCTGATGCCTTATCAGCTGCTGCTGCTGCCTCATCCCTCCCCTCCAGCCTCTTCCCAAGGGCAGAGGAAACCTCCCACAGCTGCACTTTTATCTCTTCCCAGGTGAAAACACTCAGCCCCTCAACCCCCGCCTTCCCAGGGGGAGCAGGGACACCCACCACCCTGCATTTCTGCTCCACGCTGCCTGTCCCAGGCTGGCCGAGGAAAGGGTGCTTCCCCAGGAGGCAGCTCCAGCAGCTTGCGGATGCCATCGGCCAAGCACCACATAAGGAAGGCCCACGATCGCAGGCTCCCAGGAAAGTTTCCAAGCCCTCATGTGCGACACACTTTGCATTCAGCTGCCAAGGGGATGAATTTCCACTTTATGCCCTGTAGATGCTTTTCCTAAAACTCTCAAACAGACGGGGAAGGGCAGGTTTGGGATGAGTCTCTTCCATGCAACAAAATCCCTTCCCCAGGACTTCAGCGAACATCGCTGCCCTCTTGCTTCCTCCCATCATCTCCTGCCTCTGCCAGAGCAGAGACAAAGAGCCGGCTCCAAATGGGACCCACACGGCAGTCCGCCCCACGGTGGGGTGCAGGGAGGGAGCTGCACCTCTCCGCCCACCCGGAGCAGAGCTGGCTCAAATCTCCGTGATCGAGGCAGCAAAAGTGGTGTTACATGCCCCGGGAATGGGCTACGTGATCCAGGCACAGCTCTGCCTGCCGGGCAGGAGAGCTGGGCTTTACCACCTAAATTTCGGGCAGAAAACCAGCTTGCTGAAAATTGCTGCTGAGGTGCTGTTCAGCTGCTCTCTCCCACCTCGCTCTCAAAGCAGCACGATACTGGTCCCCTCCGCAGGGCAGGGAAGCTCCCTGCTCCCCACTCCGGCACGGGGGCGAGGGGCTGCGCGCAGCCCCCCTCCCACGGGAGCAGCACCCCGCAGCCC